AAATAAAAGAACTGTGGACATCAGAACGAAGCGACCTCGGCCCCAGAGATTGGAGAGTCTAACCCAAAGTCCCCAGACTCCGTTTCCTCACTGGAAGGCATGCCGGTGGAATTGAGGAGGTCTTCAAAGTATTCCACCCACCTATCCACAACCACAACGTTCCAAGTAGAGGTCAGCAGCACACCATCACCACTATAAACAGTGTTGGTAGCGCACTGCTTTCCCCTCCTGAGACGCCGGATGGTGGACCAGAATCTCCTCAAAGCCATACGGAAGTCTTGGTTCATGGTCTCTCCGAACTGCCCCCACATCTGCATTTTTGCCTACATAATCACCCGAACTGCATTCTGCTTGGACTGCCAGTACCTATTAGCAGCCTCTGGAGTCCCACAGGCCAAAAACGCCCAATAGGAATCTTTCTTATTCAATTTAAAAGTGTTTTTTCAGTGAATCACACCTTTAAGATCATGAGCAATTTCTTTGTCTGAAATGAGAACTCTCTGTTAGCATTGCTTCCTCACTGTGCTAGTAAACCGCTAGCACGTATCATCGTTCCGTAGCCCAAGGCAGAAGCTTGTTAGGTTACTTTCACAGTTATGAATGTGGGTAGACACACTTTGCCTTTGTTTAATTTAGCCTTCTTAGACATGGTCTGTCTCATCCTGTGGGAACCATGTTGACCATAACCTTCAGAATGTCTTGCAGCGATCTCGTAGAGAACACCAATGTTACTGTGACCCGGTAGCAATTCAACTGGCTAAAAAGTTAGGATGCATCAAATTGGGGGTCAGTAGCATAAACCCCATAATACAGAACAGTATTGTCTTCCTTTAGAACAACAACGATAAGGGATGAATGCTTAGTTTACATGACATACATTTTATTAGTTGTGCTCCTTTACTCTGGGATGACAATTCTGACCTGGTTCTAGCTTGGCAACGAAAGAGCCCATCCTCCTCCGCAGATTTGGCTTGTTCTCACTTGCCTCACCTGGTTCTATCTTGACACAGGTGGCCTGCACGCAAAGAGAAGTCAAACTGTGGCACAACTAAAACGGTTGTGTGATTGTGGAAACTTGGTGAACAGTCTGTAGCTCTCACCTCACACTTCATTCGCTTAGCTCTGCGAGCACCGGGGCAAAGGTCAGGTGATGGAGCAGGCTGTTTCAGAACCTGATCCAGCTGCTGGTGGGTCTGGTCTGGCTGCTTCAGAACCTGATCCAGCTGGGTCTGGTCTGGCTGCTTCAGAACCTGATCCAGCTGCTGGTGGGTCTGGTCTGGCTGCTTCAGAACCTGATCCAGCTGCTGGTGGGTCTGGTCCGGCTGCTTCAGAACCCGATCCAGCTGCTGGTGGGTCTGGTCCGGCTGTTTCAGAACCTGATCCAGCTTCTTCAGAACCTGATCCAGCTGCTGGTGATCCTTGTCCTCGTGTTCTGTCAGCAGGAAGGGCTTCTGAACACACTGAGGGGAAACAGTAAACCACTTTAAAACTATAGATTACTGTTTATTAAAAACACAAATACGTGCATGCCTGATTGGAAAGTGCATGTGTAAGTAGAAAACGTGGTTTATAAACAGGAAGTTAGAGTGTACCACCGCATGGATTCTCTAAAATACTGAATTTGTCACTGCAGCAGCGATACGATTGTAGCAGGACTGAAATGTGGCTGAAAGGTGTTTCACAGAATACTGCAGCAATAAGACAAAAGGTAAAGAGAAAGATGTGGTTAGTTTTTGTTTCTTCAAACAGGCAGCAAAAAAAAAAAAAAACAGTCAACAAAAACAGACTAGAGCCAAGGCAGTGGTTTACAGGCACATCTTTGATTACTGTGTAAATGACATGGTCAAATTTCACATTAACTTATGTATGAATTAGTTTAACGTGCTGTAAAGATGAAGCTATAGAGCCAGATCAGATCAGAGCCTTGTCATGGACGATCATAAGACACTAATGTTTTTAGCTTCTTTATGTCCAAAGACTGAGAAAAACTAGAGTTTCACGACCACTGGCCTAATTACTGCTGCCTGACACACAACCAAAACCACTGTATGTTCACATTTCCGTCAGAATGCCTACTGAAGGCAGGTGGCAATATTGAGGTCAAGTTACCTCAAACTGATCTGGGGCCTCCTTAAAAACAGAGAATTCTCACTAAAACTCTACTTAAAGCTACAATAGCAAATCTGCAAAACAAGCTAGCTTAAAAAAATGTTCATGCACCTTAACATCATTCTAACATAGTATAGCTATAAATATATTGTGGAGACTGAAGAAAAAAAATTAAGTGGTTCTTTCACATTTGTCTAAAACCCTCAGCCAATAACATAACTTGTACCAAAACCAACTATTAGACCATTCGTTTGTTGGTCTCGCCAAACTGCCGCACTTCCCTGGGTCCTCCACTGATTACACTCGCCCCGTAATCGGAAGGTTGCTGGTTCGAGTCCCGCTCAGTCTGTCGCTGTCGTTGTGTCCTTGGGCAAGACACTTAACCCACGTTGCCTGCTGGTGGTGGTCGGAGGGACTGGTGGCGCCAGTGCTCGGCAGCCTCGCCTCTGTCAGTGCGCCCCAGGGCAGCTGTGGCTACATTGTAGCTCATCCCCACCAGTGTGTGAATGTGTGTGTGAATGGGTGAATGACTGATTGTGTTGTAAAGCGCCTTGGGGGGTTCTAGGACTCTAGAAAGCGCTATATCAAATACAGGCCATTTACCATTTTACCATTTACACACTCGTGTATTTAGCAACAGAACACCACTGGTGTGAGAAGTTTGCGGCTCAATAATACCAGAGAAGGACAAACTACCAGAGTCCCAAAAAGATAAACACTATTTGTAGTCACTGACAACAAAAGACGCTTGGACGTAGAAAACGGTGACTGGTGTTTAGTGCTCTATTGTTTACTGTGGAAATGCGGGTTCCGGCGGACGCAGCCTAGGGATTATAGCCGACAGAAGCGGCGGGAGTTCTGTGACTGTGCTTGCGTTCAAAAGCTAGCTTGTTCTGTAGATTTGCTATTGCAGCTTTAATGCATTTAATGCCTTTGAGTGGCACGGCGTTGTTGCAGCTGAGAGCTGTGTGGCACAGCTGCAGATCATCCATGGCAGACAGTAACAATAAAAAAAAACTGAAAAGAAGTGAACAGGTGGAGGCAAAGAGGAACATGGCTATAAACATTTATGCCATCCAAAATGGCAGCATTTATGATCGCGGACATACTCCATTTCTAACCCTAAAATTAAATAAAAACAGTTAAATTACCCCAAAGGGGCTGTAGGCAGGAAATGACAACTATTTTTCACCAAATCAAACAAACATCAGTCCACCTGTCAACCAATATCTGCTGGAATGAATCAGTTACAGGAAACCCGACAACACAGCTGCTGCAGGTGCCCAGTCTCCCCCCACGACTATTAAAAGCAGTTATAATTTTATAGTTTGATTAAATCTTGCCATGCTGTGGTGCATCAGACAATTAATGCACCAAATAAATATACTGAAGATGTCATATGAACATAGTGTGATATCTTAAAGGCAACATATATTTTTTTGTTAGTTTGTCATTTTTATTCTCGTTCAGAGACAGGAGGGGCTGACAGCTGATTGTGTGTGTGTGTGTGTGTGTGTGTGTGTGTGTGTGTGTGTGCGTGTGCGTGTGCGTGTGTGTGTGTGTGTGTGTGTGTGTGTCAGTCACCATGTCACTACCTAACTGGCTGCACTGCCAGTGTCCCGATCTCCAAAATGTGCTTACAACAGGGTAAGAGTTTAACACATTTTCCTGTCAGGTTTTTCTTAATAAATCATAAAATTTGCACAAAAAATGATTTGTGCAATTTTCAGACTTTATAAATGAGGCTCCTGTACACCAAAGCTCTGAAACTGAGTAATTATATCTGTAAATATTAGGCTGAAAACACAGAACATTACCCAGACAGACAGCATTTAGTTAACTTTAAAGGAGAGCAGCTCTTTAGTGACACAAACCTACCTTTTCAGGGTCAGGATCAGCCTCCAAACCCATCAGTTTGGAAGCTGGATCTGGTGCCTGAGGCAAAAGAGAGCTTTGGTAATTAAACATTTTACGGTGACCGGTCCAAGAGGCCACACAGAACCAATTTCATGAGCTCTCTGGTTAAAACACTTCAGGTCAGAAATGTAAAAACAAAAAAAAAAAATAAAAACATCAACCTAACGCAGTAAGGTCCAGCCGCAGATTTCACTGCTCCGGTTTCAGATCAGAGTAGGAATCTAAGGGCTCCCTCCCGCTGAACCAAAGTTTAAAGTGTTGCTCTTACTTCTGTAAAGCAGCTGCTTTGCTGTACTGTTGGTTCTTGTTTTATTGTGCTTTTTGAACCCTCTCCATTAACAGTCAGGTATTCAAGTTCATACATATTCTAAACATGGATAAATAAACACACACACACACACACACACACACACACACACACTCACACTCTCTCTACATTAGTGTGTAATAACATAACTTCAGAAATCTAACTATTTAAATAAAACAAAGACATAATAAATTAAAATATAATTCATAACATTTCAAATGACTGTTTTTATCTCACTTCTGTGAATTTATAAGTAAGGTTTATATTAATGTGTAAAAATAAGAGCTAAAAGCACCAAATTTGTTTTTACTTTCAATGCCGGTTAAAAAAAACTCATGACAAATGAAGAAATCTAAGAGGGAGATCAAGCAAACTCAAAAAACTCTAATCTTTGGTCAAGTGTTGTTTTGTTATAAGGAGGCAGACAAAAAAAAACACTAAAAACTAAAGGTTTAACTTAGTTTTTTACAAAAAACGTTCTTTGTCTCCTTGGTACAGAAGATTACACAGCAGGCCTCCAAAACATTTAAATATGTAGCTGTTTTGGTTTAAAACAAAACTATCTGATCACAGTAAACACAACTGCAGCAAAGCATCTGATTTATGAATCTCCGAACAACATTTTAAACAACAAATTGGTCACATCTGATATTTGAGTGATCAGGTCCTAACCCAAACAGGAGTGAGGTCTGCAGTCAGACCTTGTCTGGCTATAAAATGACACATATCCATTGAAAAACACATGTTTTATGCGTTTTAGCTGAATAATGTTAAATGAACACATGTGCTGTCCTCTGATCATGCATTAGTACTTCATAAACACTTTCCAGCTAAAGCGATATGATCCTTTCTGCATTAATTAGCAGCATTATCAGTGGTGTGGTTGCAGCGAGCCACACACGCACCAGGACTGAGATCCTGTAGTGTGCTGCTGATACTTGTGTGAAACTCACCAGCAGGTTAGCTCCACTCTGGAACAGATTGTAGGGATAGAGGATTCTCTCGTAATGCCCTCGCAGGTGCGAGCCAATAGCTTTACCAGGGGTGAAACCCATCTGTATAGCAATCTTGGTCCATCGCCTGTCCTGGCAGACGAGGTCGAATCCACCCTCATCTGCCACCAGCTGTAATAACAGAGAGATATCCCAATGATGTCAGTCTCTCTACTGCATTAAAATATAAGTCTCTGTGTGAATAATGCACAGTGCAATCAATTATCAACCTTATTTAGCTTATATAAGTCCAGAATCTTTCTCTCCACATGAGGAATTTTCAGGGTGCATCCTTGCAGATCCCAAAACTTGGCAATCTGGTCCAAAAAGTTGAGTTTAACTCTGGTCTGTGCCTGAGGAAAGACAGGACAATGACAAGAGTGAGACAAATGAATGATAGTCAACAAAATAAAACCCAAATTTACAGTCTTTAGCACGACTATTTGTTTATTTTTTAATCACCCGGTAAGGATCCATTAATAACCACTCTTGCCTGTTTTCTCCGTAAATATGAGTGACCCTGTGTATTTACAGCATGAATGCTGTTTAGTACATGCACAGATACACAAATTGATAACATTCAAATAAATGTCAGAAAAAAAAACACCTGATTAACAAAACTTACCTCCAGTTCATTGAGTCTTTGGATTCGAGGAACAAAGTGAAGCTTGTCAACATCACAGGCAAATGGAGGCTGCCAGTCCTAAACAACAACAGAGTGGACATAATGGATCATGAAGGTCATCGAGTCGCCATGCTGCAGGTAGGTTTAGTCATTTCTGTTCAAGTCCTCAACCTGTTTACCTCCTTTAGAATGGTCATAGTTAAAGCATTACTTTTACATGAGAAGAACCCAAATAATCTGTTAGATTATGGAAATTAACTACAGTTAGGCTCAGCTGAAAACCAAGGCCTGCTCTCAGAACACATCGATCCTTTAATAAGGCAGAAACATACCAGTGAAAACATCACATTTACTATAAAAACACACAAGTGGGGCCCCAAGTCAGTAGCCAACACCCCCCACTGGCAAACAAAATGGCCAGATGGAGGACTAAACTCAATAGTCCAGTTTACCACAAAGCCAACATGGAGGACAACACCCTCCACCACAGGCTCCTACATGAAGACTGGCTGGTTCTCTGGAAGATCGGTTTCATAATGCCACATATGATAGGTTAGGATCACTCTGATCTGGACTTTTTATAAAAAACAAACAAAGAGCCTTTTTCTCCAATGTTGGTCAAAAGAATTTGCATAATGGCAAATAATATGATAGCTACGAGGTTTTTATGAAATATACCCTTTCAGCTTCAGGGCTTTAGAAAGCAGACCCAAAGTGGTGAAGCAAAAACTCTGATGGACCCAACCTGCTTTATTTAGCTAAACATCTAAAACAATCATCCATAACTCCGGATAACTTCAGGATTCTGGGGACATGTAGGGACAAGCTCGGAAAAAGGCTTGGTGAGGATGTCAGTGTCGTTAATTGTGATTTTACATCGTCCTGTTTTAGCTGTAGGAGCTTCCGCATCGCTACCTAAAGTCAGCGCTGAGCCACATTATGACAGGTCGGCCTGCTAGCTGGAGCCTCCAAGACCGCCGAGGCTCTCTGGGTTCACGGAGAACCGCGATTTTAGCCCACTCTACCCCCCAAAGACCTACATAACGGACAGTTGGCTGTGAACGGGATGAGTTAAGTCAGAAACTAGAGAACAAACGAGGAGCCGAGAGCGGCGGCAGCACAAAGAATGAACACACCGCCGCCATGTTTAACCGTCCCTTTAAATCCCCGCTCGGTCCATCAGCAGCCGAGCTAATTCAGCATCCGTGCCTTCCCCAGCCTTTCAGCACATTTCCTCACACTCACCGGGGGTGGTCGGACTTTACAAATGCCCGTTTTCTCGGCGATGGGTCGGATCTTGTTGATAAAAGCGTAAGGGTCTCGAAATTCTTCCCAACTAGGCTCGAAGACCGGACACTCTGGTGGAGGCTTGAACTCGTCCTGCCGAGGCTGGCTCATCGTTGCCACACTACGGGAGCTCGGACCTAACGGGGCGGCGCGGTACGGTTCCACGGGGGTAGTTTGTTTATCCTTAACCGGTCTATTCACCGCGAGCGTCGGTGGCCAGTCGACATCAACACGAAGGGAGGCGGATCACACACACATACACACACACAACCAAACAACCAACACACACACATCCACGCACAGTGAAGGGAATGTTCCAAGGCAGTGAGCACGTCCGCCCGAAAAACTAGACACCACGCGGCTCAAGGTGATGCGTGAAATGCACCAGGTTCCGCAGTGTTTGCGGACAAATGTGCGTATTACGCAGTAACAACTGCCATTCACAGCTCCGTAATTATCATGTAACAAACCAGCTTTTAGGCTAACCCTTTAAATTATATTTAAATGTTATCCTGTAAAGTAGGCCTATGGGTAAAGAACTGAAATAGGGTGAAAAACTAAACGAAAACAAACATTTCATTTTACTCCAGTTAAGGGAACCATAACAATCTAAATGTACAGACTAGACAGGTGCAGCATTATTAATAATAAAGTCACCTATTGTATTTAAACAGACACTTTACTTCTGCTCCAGTAATCAGAGGCAAAAAAACCATTATTTAAATGTCAACAGATAACACATTTACAGTCCTAGTTTATAAATTATGAAGAAATCTATGTTGTGGTTTAAGTCATAATTCTACTAGCTGCTCATTAATACTTTTTCCTGAGATTTTGTATTAATTTTCCTGCACTCTGAATGCAGACATAGCTGTGATAACACACATTTTGTCCACAGGTGACGCCTTCTTATGAAGCTGTATACATTTAGACTATGTCAAATGCAGCATTTCTTGATTTTATTTTATTTTTTGGTCCCACCATCAACCCAAATGAAGCAACACTTTATTCAGGTTAATATCACACAGCACTGCAGCGTGGCGTTACATTTTGGCATTGAAATAGTCCGAAACCCCCCAGCATTAAATAATAATGATGTGTTTATACTCGCGCGGATGGATACATGCAGGTGACAGCTCGGAGGCTGCCGGGACTCGTTGTTTAAATAGCCTGAATGAGAAGTTTGATTGGGTGTTTTTCAGAAACATCTGCCACTGAAACAACAAGCGGAGACGCTTTATCAGCCCTCAGACAGAAGGGACAGGGGCTGACCGCCACAAGGAACCCGTTTAATTTAAACAAAGGACTAATTTCAAAGTAAAAGCACAGTTAAAGGGCTTTATTATGCCCCATTTACCTTCTTCTAGCAGGATTCTCCAAATAATTCCACAAATATTTTCATCACTAAAATAAAGTGACTATTATGGGATTTCTTGCAGGTCTTACTGGATTTAGATCGTTTAAAGACTGACTGAGGCTGAACCCTGGGGTTTAGGGCACACCATCGCTGCTCATGTCCCAGGTTGTTGGTTCCATCTCGGGGTGAAAGCAAAACATCATAAAGACCTGCCTCACATTTACCCAAAAACATTCAGCAAATGTGTCCAGTTATGTCTGGAGCAGAATTAATGCAGCAATTCAGAAATGTAAACCAAAATCAGGCTTAGTCATGGTTTATTGAATCATACAGAATTTCCTCAACATTATGTTCAGCTGACATGTTTCACTAGTTAAACCAAACATACAATGCACACAAATCAGACTCTTCCATTTCTGCTTTTGGGTGATTTATCATTTAAATCTGCTGTTAACTTTCAAATAAACTTTATAGGTTAAAATGCCTGACAAAAAAAAACATCAGACACATCCCCATGTATGATAAGCACAGATGGATTTACTAGAAAAATATAGCTTAACTATAAGTTATTCAAGGAAAAATGCTGTAATAGTTTGTATAAATAAGCTCAGAAACATAAAAATGTTTCCTCAACTGTTATTGTAATACTTGACTAAAGCTAAAAATTCCATTGTAGAACTATAGTTTTGTAGGTTTCATATAAATGTAATCCAAATATTCTCATTTTCATTTATTCAAGATGAACACAAATACATCATACTTTAAACAACAGAAATCACTGGCTTCACTCATAAGTTTAATTTGTGTATAATCAATGTGATCAAATCAGAAAAAGAGATTAAGGAAGGCATTTTTGTGAAAGCCCAAGTTATTTTTTACTGGGATTCTGTGGAAAGGTTATGTTATCTTAACTGTTGTTTGAACAGCCTCATTTAGGAGAAAAATATATTTCTTCTGATTGGATTGATGAGCTAACAGCTAGTCTGAGGAGTGGAAAAAACCTCCAATCAGAAAGTCATAGTGCTTCATGTGTGAATGCAGTGGAAAGAGCAGGGTTAAAAAAACTCAAGGGTTAAATCTAATGAATAATTTTAAAAGGTAAAACTTAACATTAAAACTAAAACATCTTGAACATTCAAACACATTTATGCCTTTAAATGAAGATACAGGGTCCTAGGAAATTAAAATGACAAGGTAACTAACAACAGTTAGAACCCCCCTTTCTTCAAACTGTGGATGTTTAAAATAAAACTTTTTAAATAAAACTAATTTAAAACACTGAATTATCTCTAACAGATAAATCTGACCCAAATCTAGATTTCTCCTAGCCTGGCAAGCCAGACTGAATAAATGTATTATTTAGTCTGGCAACGCTCCATTGACGGCTCTCGGTTGTGGGGCGGGTTCTACCGTTGTCTTTCAAATGATCTCCGCATGCTACTGGACAATGAATGTGACAAAGGCCGTGTTTGAGTTGAGCTTCGCCTCGCCTGGAAAACAGACGAGAGCAGACAGAAGCAGCAGGGGGAGCGGCTGAAAGCCGGCATTTGAGTCGGACAGATTTCCCTACATGTGTAGGCTAGCTCGCGGGTGACGATGGATGAAGATATCGCGTTAGAGTTCATACTTGTGTAATTATTTATTTTAATTCTGGCGCCTGTTAGCAACCGAAACACATCCTCACATGCTTGTGGATATCATATATTGTATATGGAGACCTGCCTGTAATAATAAGCAAAGGTTAGGTTCAGTGTGCTCATAGGAAACGTGACAAAAGAACACAAACCACATTCCTCTTTATGGCCCATATAGTTGTCATCATCAACGTTACATGATTTAAAGAATACACGTGACCAACTAACATTTTGCATTCAACCACCGGATGTTTGGATCAAAATGTGAACCAATCAGAACTTAGATCAGGTGAGAGCCAGGCGTTTCCCGTCATGCCCTAGGTTTTGCAGCCGGTGGAGAGCAACTGCAGCGCCTTGCTCCAAAATCTGCGGCTGCCTTGATCTCACGAGGTTATCGTTGCCTATGTAGGCATGACGTCAGAGCAAGTCGATGTCAAGTCAGACACAAATCTAACCGGCAAGCACTGCTCGCCGATCACCGGTGATCTAATCTGCGCAGAACTGGCTTATCTCGAACACGGCCATACTCTTGTTTCACTCTGTTGCATCATCCCACCCACCAGGCATATAGAGTGCCCTGATTGGCCCACAAAGCGGATAAAGCTCTGTGATTTGTTCACTAAGGAGATAGAGCACAATGATTGGCTCACCATTATGGACCAATCACAGCTCTTTATGTGTTTGAAACCCCTCTAGAGAGCTGTGATTGGCCAGCCAGAATGCTGTTAGGGGCTGCAGAGTTTCCAGTGGAGCGTTCCTAGACCAAACTTTGCAAAACAAGAATTTGGTCTAGTTCACTAGGCTAGATTTCTCTAGTTACACCATAAAAATCTCGGATCTTATTTGATGATCATTTAACAAAACGTATCCGATGTTGAAAGGCTGGGCAATAAATAAAAATGTATTATCAATATTTCTGACTCTAACCAATATCATTTTCCCCATGTGAATGAATTCAGTAATAAAAAAAAAAGGAAAGATGTGTGTTGGTCACTTCCTGTCTCTTTAGGAAGCTGTACCACCAGGAGTCACATGACAACTTGACTCAACTGACTCAAACTGATTCAACGTAATACGTGTGACAGCCCCATCTAGTGGACAACTTTTGTTTTTGTGCATACATGTAGTTATTGTCCATTTATCGTTGTCGAGGTGAACTCCTAAACACACCGTGATATTGATTTTAGGCCTTTTAATTTCCCTCTGGGATTAATAAAGTATCTTTGAATTGAATTGATTTATTGCCCAGCCCTTTTATGTTGTAATAAATGATTTTAATTCATTCATGCGCGTTTTTCCCAAGGTTAAGTAGAGTGATGTGTCTGGTGGATGTGGTGAGATGTTGATTTGTGTACATGTACCAAATTCACAAATAAAACAAAAACAAACTATAAAAGGTCATTATGTGTCTATGATGCGTCATACAGAAAACACCAGGACAAAGTTTATTTCAAAGTCTAATCCAAATCTAGCTTAAAGTTCATTTCCAAACTAAATCTGGCATTAAAAAGAGGCTGAGAGAAACAGCCTCACTCTGATTGGCTCCAGCGTGAAAAACAAAGATGAAATCATGATAAAATAACTCCAAAGACCTCACAAGATTCAGATTTCATCATCATTTTCAGAATCATAGCTCACTCGTCCAAGCTCCTCGTAATCCTTTTCCAGACAGGCTAGGTCTTCTCTGGCCTCTGCAAACTCCCCCTCCTCCATGCCTTCACCCACATACCAGTGGACGAATGCTCGCTTGGCATACATCAGATCAAACTTGTGGTCCAGACGAGACCAGGCCTCAGCAATAGCTGTGGTGTTGCTCAGCATGCACACAGCTCTCTGGACTTTGGCCAGGTCTCCACCAGGAACGGCGGTTGGAGGTTGGTAATTAATGCCAACCTGTAGACAGAAGTTAAGACAACGATCAGAGAAATGACACATCTCAGCTACACATCTTCCTTTAAAACTCACCTTGAATCCAGTAGGACACCAGTCCACAAACTGGATGGAGCGTCGCGTCTTTATACTGGCTATGGCAGCATTGACGTCCTTTGGGAGGACGTCGCCTCTGTAGAGTACGCAGCACGCCATGTACTTTCCACGCTGGGGGTCACACTTCACCATCTGATTGGTCGGTTCAAAGCAAGCACTGGTGATGTCAGACACGGTCAGCTGTTCGTGGTAGGCCTTCTCAGCAGAGATGATGGGCGAGTAGGTAACAAGAGGGAAGTGGACACGAGGGAACGGGACCAGGTTGGTCTGGAACTCCGTCAGGTCAACATTTAGGGCGCCATCAAAACGCAGCGAGGCAGTGATGGAGGAAACGATCTGACCAATCAGTCTGTTGAGGTTGATGTAACCAGGAGTCTCAATGTTCATGTTGCGGCGACAGATGTCGTAGATGGCCTCATTGTCCACCATGAAGGCGCAGTCAGAGTGCTCTAGGGTGGTGTGGGTGGTCAGGACAGCATTGTAAGGCTCCACCACTGCTGTGGACACTCGTGGAGCTGGGTAGACCGCAAACTCCAACTTGGATTTCTTGCCATAGTCTAAGGAGAGGCGCTCCATAAGGAGAGAGGTGAAGCCAGAGCCGGTGCCTCCTCCGAAGCTGTGAAAGACTAGGAACCCCTGTAGACCAGTACACTGATCTACCTGAAGGGAAGCATCAAACAGGAAGTCTAATAAAGCTCAGAGATTCAACAAAAAAACGGCATGTTTTTCAACTCATGTATCTATTTAACACAAACTTTACCTTTTCATTCACTCCTAAAGCTATTGAGGTGAAGGGTTTGGGAGCACTAAAAATAAACTTAATTCACTCAATTATTAATTTAGTCAAGTCCTAAACACATTTCCAGTAATTATGAAGAAAGCAACAAGTGAAGTGGATCAGAAAAACAGAGTTCACTGTAAATATTATTCAAAGAGCAAGTTACTCCTTACAAGAATCTACCTGTTTGAAAAATGCACCACAAGGAGGCATTGCCTGGCAGACTGAGAGAGCGGAATAGCTAACACATGTTCACGGTAGCATTGTGACATCATATGGTACCAGCTAACATCATAGGGCCAATAGTGAGGGTCAGATTTAAATTCAAATGCAGTGCAGTTTTTACCTAATATTTACATAATATTTAAATTTAATATTTAAATTTTAACCACGATGCACTAAAGTACCAAATTACTGACTACATGTGTCTACAGCACGATAAGATCCTCATTTAGTTTATCAGCCAAAAAAAGTTGATTTGAGGGTGACTTGCTCTTTAAGTAGATTCAAGTCGACAAACTACGAGTCTAGGTGAAGTCACAAGTCCTTACTGTTAAAATCTCAGTCAGATCCCAAGTCTTGATTCATGTGACATCAGTCAACATCATCAGTAATCACTAAAATAAAATAGGAGCATTAATAAAATAACTTGATTTAAACATGATTAATTACCATTTTACGAACTCGCTCCATGACTCCATCGATGAACTCTTTCCCCACGGTGTAATGGCCGCGGGCGTAGTTGTTGGCTGCATCCTCTTTCCCAGAGACCAGCTGCTCAGGGTGGAACAGCCCTCTATACCTCCCCACTCTCACTTCATCTAAACACCAACATCTCAATCTGATTAGGCAGCATATCCTTTTGAGACTTTTAAACCCTCTAAACCTCTTTTTATTTTGTTTGTTTCCTGCCCAAATCTGTACTGTAAGGTTATTTAATTAGTACAAAACTCAAAATACGTTTTTAAACCATCAATCTGGTGCGTGGTTAGCCTGTAGGATAGGTGCTGTGTGCTCTTTCACACCGTCTTTGATGGTAACTGAAAGTAGCTTCAAGCTGTGATATTCATCTGACAACTGATCTGAACATATTAAATCCATTTCTGCAGGAGAATGAGTCTAATAATAAAAGAAGGTACACACCAGGTTTATTCATGCACTTGAAACCGTGATTGGAATATAAATAATAAAAATGGGGTAATCTCTCACAGATTTGCAAAATTGCACAAATATACGTTAACCTCAGGATTTTGACTACTAGGACAATCTTAATCTGATTACGGACCAGAAGTTAAAGCGTGACTTGTGCTCACCGATGACGGAGGGCTCCAGGTCCACGTACAGAGCTCTTGGAACATGACGGCCAAAGCTTCCAGTGTTGAAGAAAGTGTTGAATGGATCTTGGCGAGAATTTGGTTCAGTGGGACCTTCCAGGAAAACGCCATCAGGGCCGACTCCATGCTCCAGACAGAGGAGCTCCCAGCATGCATTTCCAGTCTGGACACCTGCCTGGCCCACATGGATGGAGATGCACTCTCGCTGTGAAGTGTTTAAAAGAAGAAAAACCAGATTACAGAAACATCAGTTTGTATGGACAAATGTTACAATCCACAAATAATCCCTGATGCATCGCAATTTTAGAATATATGGCAATAAAATGTGTATTTAAGGGAGAGGTTCTGCTTATCAGTTATGGAAAACATTGAACCCTCAAATAGAAGATACATTAAATTACTTCTTCAGGAAGACTGTTGGATTATAATCACAAAGGAAAACTTTGTAATACTTTGCAGAACTTAAAAAGCAAACATGTTTGCATTTTATAATTTTTTGCGAAAAATGTTAAAGTTCCAGGAGCTCTATAAAAATTATAAATGACATGCTCCTCAGATTTAGCAAAACCTTGGATAAAAAACATTTGTGATTTTTCACGTAAAAGTTAAAACAAAAATAATCTCACACAATAATTATTACTGCAGCAGGAAGTTTAAACAAATGAAATCAAACTGGTTCACTTTGTCTACAGTTTTGAACCTTAGCTAAATCTGGTTGATAATAAATAATACCAGAGTATCTGATTTTTCAACCAAAAATGAGATAAACTGGTGTGTCTGAGGGCTTCCAGCCGTCTTGTTTCTACATGTTGAGAATCTGATCTAGTTTCCCCGGAGGAGACATCCCCTTAGATGATTTTTCAGTGTTGAGTGATGTTTACACGACAAACATGAGGAGTTGAGAGAAAATAAATCAGATCAAATATGAAAACACGCACAAAAGAAACACCACTCACTAACAAATGGGCCACCAGCTCTACTCTTCAGTGCAGATTTGTGAATTTAACTAAAAAAACATTGAGTCCTAAAATAAATTCAGAGAAATGTATAGATAAAATAGTAAACGTTGAAATGGTTAATTTTACAAATGGTCTCTTACCATGCTGCTGCAGGTAAAAGTGAGAATATTTGGTGAGTAAAGCTCCAGAGGGTGAAAGACAGCGCAGCTCGAGGTGTTCCTCGGTGGTCCACGTCGGCGCTCTGATGGTTCTGATCCAGGACTCGAGGAGGAAGGAGTTGATAGATGGAGGGTGGGAGGGAACGATGGTAACTTTTCTTCCCCATTAGGCTGGTTTTCACTCAAACTGTTGTTTTAGTCACGTTTTAGGCTTGCTGTCACTTGTTGGGGGGGGGGGGGGGGGGGGGGGACGACACACATGTACAAAAACCTGGCTTTTGTTCTGAGGAAAATAATCTTCTTTTTAAAAAACAAAACTTAACATTTACTTTAGGTTTGATTAGAGTAAAAGGTATTTTAGCTGGAGTTAATACTCATGTGGTAACTTTAGGGTATCAGTTTTCAGTTCAGATCAAATCAGAGACAGCTTAAAGTTTAAGATCTTTGCAGCTAGTAAACAGAAGCATTTAACATTTTTCATTTCCTGTCTGTCCTCAGTAATAAGCATAAAGATTAGGGTTGATGAACAGGAACTAAACCTGTGAGTGGTAGTAACTGGACCCGATACAAAAAACTAAAATACAGCCAGAACTTGTTAACAATCAGCAACTAACATTTCACCAAAAACCTCAGGTTTCAGAAACAGAGATTAGCTCCGACTGTGTCTTATAGCTCTGTGTGTGACATTACTGTGGGAATGTCCAGTCTCCAGGTCCGCAACTCTGTACTATTGTGGAATTTACACAAGGGAGGTGGGGTTTCATCGAATCCAAGGGTCTTATTTATGTAACCGCTTGTTAAAATAACTTATATTAAATAAAAATGACCTCTCAACAGTGCCAATTGTACTATTTTATCATATATTATGCCTATCTTTGATCTGGAATGTGTAAAATAGCATGATACAGGTCATACAGGACACTTTGTAACTGGCTCTATTAAGGACTGTTAGCTTGGGGCAGTCATGGCTGTACGGGTAGGGCACTTGTTTGCCGATCCATAGGTCCATGGTTCAAGTCCAGCCCAGTAAGGGCTGGCCATCCTTGGTTAAGATGCTAAACTCCACCTAGTTATCCTCAATAAATAAATAATAATAATAAGCAAAAAGAGCTGTTAGCTCATCTCTTCGATAATCTCCAACTCCCTTGCCTGAGGCTGTTCAAAGAGCAATCTACAGGATGTAAGATACTAATCATTATGTTTTTGTAGAAACACACAAAAAGATCTGAAGTACATTTGTCCTGCAATTAAATGATTCTAGAACCTTAAATCTATCAATTCTAATTTATGTAACCGAAGTTTGTGTTTTTCTCCTCATGTCTTTATATCATAAATCATCTCAAGTGTTCCGACTGGGAAAAAGACACTTTTTGAACTTTGTACCAAAGTTATTGAACTGAACTCAGCTGGGAAAACAATTTTACACCTTGGTACCAAACTAAAAATCTGACCACCACAGCTGGTAAGAATTTATTCAGGTTTGGTAAAACAGTAACGTTTTTAACCTAACCTAACCAAGTTAATTATTTGACCTTTCTGTACTCTTTCCAAAACCAAAAGAATAATCCAAACTTAAGTGGAAAACAAAGTGCTGGACTGATATTTTTGAAATGTAAAATCATTTTGTTTTCACTAGTTTTGTCTATTAAACCAAAACTCTAACTGGTTTAAGTGTAAGAACTGGATTGCACTTTGAGAGCTGACTAGACTGAAGAAGCTGATTAGATAACCGGTTTCTCAGAGTTTTTTTTTATTGAATTTCCCAAAAAACAATGATGTTAGTGTGTGTGTGTGTGTGTGTGTTTGGAGGGGGAGGGGCTTCATGCATCCCTCAGTTTTGCCAAATAGGAGAGGAAAAATCATCAGATTGTACATGTAAGTCAATTTCTAAAACAATATTCTTCTTGAAATATATCTTTAGTAATAAACCTTTTGTGTTAAAGTGATTTCTATCTAAAAGTACCATTATCACAATGAGTTACAAAAGAGGGGAGTGAACTACTGACCCATTAAAGAGCCTGCAAATGGCACATCAGTTCACTTAACCATCATTCTCATGGGCGGCAACATGAACGTCCACTGGTGGATGATAGGCCAAAGTCATAAGGCATTTAGCAGCAAGGGGAGCCTAAACCTGCTCCATCCTTTTTTGTTGATGAGTAAAAATATATTGCACTTTGAAGACAAACTGAAAAAATAATCTCACAGGTAACAACAGACACCACTGAAGAGTCATGCAAGTGGTGATGGGCTCCTTGGAAGTGAAGTGTGGTTGACCACGGCGAGGCTGAGGCTCTGCAGCGCACTGACAAAAGGTGAACTAACCTTCAGAGGAAAAAGCCCAAACTGCTGCACGTCACCTTTTTTCCCCTTTAGGAGTATCTTTGCATACTGGCACAAAAACGTCTTCCTTTGTGGTTTAATTTAGCGGCATTTTAGCAAAAGTCTAGCTGCCTGTCCTTTTCTTCTTGTGGTTCTTGCTCTTGCAGAACATCATTTTTCTCGCAGAACGCAGACGCCTGCGTCACATCGCTGGGTCGCCATCGATGTGACGACCTCCCAGGAGTCAATAACTGGGTCGTAACATTCAATACTGCTGAGGAGAGAGTTTCCGTCATATCTGGAGAAAACAGAGAGTGAGCAGTGAGCCGCACCAGAACACACACACACACACACACCTGTGTGAATGAAGGCAGAACCCAACACATAACCACTCTGTTGTATCACAGCAATGAGCTAAATGTCTAAATAAATATGATGCATCTTCTTGAATCTCACACAATCACTGTATTTGTAAAAGGATGAAAAATTTCTGTATTAATGATTAAAATATGCCTGAAAAAAAATACATGCAAACGTTCAGTTGGAACTTGAAGGGATCCTGGCTCTCATCGATCACTGACAGATAAACTGGAAAACTAGTGCAAATATACATGTAGCAAAATGCCTCAATTTGTGGTTCCATTTGTTCCCGTATTCACCATTTGGTCACAAAACTGTCCCAAGGCTGCTTTACAGAAATTAAACAGAGAAGTTGAGTGCAACAGCATCTAGGTGCTTTCCAGCCACAGCCAGCATCACTTCATCCGTTAATCTCTGTTGGAATTAAAACATCTCATTGTTCATCGACTTTTTCCTTCAACATTTGCATAATAATAAACTCTTACCACTTATAGCCCAGGTTCGATCATTTTCAAATTAGCATGACCATGCAGTGCTAATCCTTCCGTCTCAGCTCTAACAGGTCAGAGGTCAAACATCAGATACAGAGAGAAGGATGCTCATTCTCACCCTGCGATGGCGTAGAGTCGTCCTCGGAGGACGGTTGCTCCTACGTAACACCGAGGAGTGGTCATACTGGCCACAGTGGTCCAGTAGTCTGTTCGGATGTTGTACACCTCCACCGAGTCCAGGTGAGAAACTCCATCAAACCCCCCCACCACATAAATGTGGTCATTGAGTAAAGCCACACCAGCTCCTGAACACAACGGTTAGGGTCAGAGTAGCATGCACACAAGCGCGCGCGCGTACACACACACACACACACACACACACACACACACACACACACTGCGGTTTTCAGATTCACCTGATCGTTTCGTAGCCATGGGCGTCACACTGGTCCAGTGTCCTGTGTGCGGGTCGTACCGCTCCACTGAATTCAAAATATTTAGACCATCATATCCACCTGCAGGGTGAAGCATTGTGATATAAGCACTACACATTAATATTAATGTGGAATAGCCAGAGCAATTAAAACATGTCTGTCTTCATCCTGCTTTCCTGGGGAGTACCTCAGGGTTTAATCCTAGGTCCACCCCTCTTCACTGTCTATATTCTCCCTCTCGGCAATATTTTAGTGAAAACTGGTTTGCACTATTACTTCTATACTGATGGCTGTCAGGCTTAACTAGCCTTAGATCAAACTGGTTCCATTAATCTACTTCTTGTCTCTCTGATGTTAAGGCCTGGATTGCTTTCAACTTGCTCTGGCTTAATGATGATAAGACTGAGGCCATTCTCTTTAAACCAAAAAAAATAGGAACCTGCATGAATTTTCAACTCTTGATCTCCCGTGTTACAGGGTGACCTCCTGTCACTGTATCCCGATTGATCATGCGCCCTGGCAACTTGGCCACGGGAATATCCTTTTGGTTGGCTTGTTAGCGTGCGTGATTCTCACCCGCGAGTCTGGGGATCGAAATCCTGCTCGAGCCCTCGTTTCTCCACCTTGCCACACCTGCATGAATCTCTAATCCTGTGCGACCAACCTCTGGGTCAAACTAGATGCAGACATATCAATGACCCCACAGATAAATGCTACTGTGAGGTCTTTTTTCCAACTGTGATGTCTTGACACGCTAAAAACCCATCCTTAGAAGACCACACCTGGAATAGGTTATTCACGTGTTTATCATCTCAAAACTTGACTATGCATATTCAGTCCTTGTTGGTGCCTCTGTTAACTGCTTAAAGAAAGTCTAAAATGCTGCTGCACGATTCCTTACAACTACAAGCAGACGATGCCATATCATTCCCACCTTGGCTGATCTACACTTTCCTGTGACCTACCAAGTGCAGTTTAAAATTTTGTTGTTCACTTATGAAGCTCTGAATGATCACGCACCCCACTACCTGTCTGAGCTGCTCACTTGCCAACTCCCCTCCCGATCACTACAATCTACAGATCAATTGCTCTGCACTCCTAAAATGAAATATCCATCCCACGGTGAGCGGGCATTTGCCATTGCCGCTCCTAAGCTGTAGAACGCACTCCCTCTGGAAGTGTGCCTGGCTTCGACACTTGTGCATTTGAAATCAAAACTGAAGTCACATCTCTTCAAACTGGCTTTCAGCCGGTGAAGTCCTCCTAATGGGTGTGTCCTCAGCTTTCGGCTTTCTATTTTGTGTCTTACCTATTTTAATTGTTTGGTTTTAAATTCTATGTTTTATTTATGTACCACCTACATTATGCTATCTAGCTTTTTCTTGGGTTTTAGGTGTTTTACTTTTTTGAATCATTGTTTTTACTCACTGTTTAACTTTGTCGTATTTTGCCAGCTCTGCTGCCCCTTCTTTGGTCAGCTGACAGGCTGTGGTTAAATGTGCTTTACCAGTAAATATGGTTTGGTACGGTTCATCTGTTCAACAACTGGATGAAACTAAAAGAATCAATCAGTAAAATTAAATATCAGCTGAGGACAGGAATCAATATGAAGTGATCGACCATTTTTGAAACTCAACATCTTCTTTTGTTTGGTCTGTAAACACGAATGTCAACCAGAAACAGAAAATGTTCAATTAATTCAGATATTTTTTCTGTTATTTATAGTTCTTTGAGATGCACTCGAATCGGTTATCATTGATAAAGTTATAAAATTTATTTTCTCGATCAGCTGCAGATGTTGCATGTCTGCCCAGTGCAGTTTATTTAGACACTCAAAGGTATGGCGATGAAAGAATGAGGTCTGAGTTTAGTTTAAAGGTTTGTGTCTTCAAAAATTAGAAAAGCTATGATTTAAATAATACAGAATAACCTTGAACTACTCTCTAAAGTATTCTAAATACACGTTTTACTACTTTAATAGTAAACATTGGTGCAGAAAATCTCAGTTTCCATCCCAAAAGAAATCATCTGATACCTAAACAGTATATCAGCCCACTGGCAACCACCAGACCAGCTCCCTCTCTTGCAGTCTGCATATCTCCCAGCATGCTCCACTGGTCGATGTTTGGATCGTAGCGCTCCATGCTGGTGTGACGTCTGCTGCCATCGAAGCCGCCAGCCACATAGATCATGTCTGTTGAATGATAAATTATTTCTTCATCTTAGTACCTGTACTGATTAAAAATGAATGATAATTTACTGAAACCCCTTCACCTCCGAGCGTTGTGGCTCCAGCGAGCCCGCGCCGTACATTCATGGTGGCGACGGTGTACCAAACACCATCTTCATCAGCTGTGTAGTCCAGACACTCCACTGAGCTGAGCCTGGAGCGGCCATCGTAGCCTCCGATCACGTAAACTCGATCGTGTAGAGACACCGTAGCTACATAGCGTCTTTTCCGTGCAATATTCTGTTTTGGACATATCAGTCTGTCATGAAATCCAAAGTAAAGATAAAACGGAAAAGTCTCTGTTGCAAAAGGCCATCACTCACAGGCAGAAAGCTCCATTCTTGAGTTTTGGGATCATATTTCTCTACTACATCTATGGGTGACTGCTGGCTGCCAAACCCACCAATAACCAGCAGAACTTCTTTGGCCCCTGAGAGAAAACAGTGTGATTACAAGGCCTGGGTATCAGAGACATGCACTTAGCTAAATTGCAGTTGAAAGCAGGGTTCCAACCTAATCTGGCTTGTGTGCGAGGGCCCTGCATCTCACTCCTCAGCTCCGGTCTTAAGTGGAATTTTTTGGCTTCGTCAACAAGGTCTCGACATGGCAGGCTACACCGAATAAGCGGCTGAAACATGTGAAAACCTGCTTAATTACGACGTGATAAATACTTCAGCAGACAATCTTTCATCTGAAGCTTGGTGCGTGATTACACAACAACCCTTTAAGGGTCGCCTGGCTCACCTCAGCATCGATGACATCTGTAATGTAGCGAGGGGTAAGGAGAGGCATTCGAACAAACTCCAGCATGTCTGGCAGGTACGGCTCTCGCTCCTTTCTGTTGTGTTTAACCCAGTTTAATACAGCCTCAAACACAGGCTCCTCTGAGTCCACCTGGAAAATGGAATCATCTACTATCATCTGAAATGCTGTAAAGTCAGCAAATTAAAACCGATGAAGACTTATTTGTTTATCTTTATTAGGAATTTGATATCAGCAACAAAACAACAATAACTAAAGCTGCGCTATGAAAATAATTTTGTTGCGGAAACATCAAGCGCTAATAAAAAAAAACAGCAACGTAACTTCACACATCTATGGTACATTTAAAGGATTTAGAGAGGCTGAGGACATTTCTGAACAATAAACAACAGACAGGCTAGTTTCTGCTGTAAGAAAACACAGCATGAGAAAAAAAAAACACAGCAAGAGATTTATAAAAGTCATAATGAAGAAAATCCAAGAGGTAGCATGATGGTCAGCAGAAGGATGGGGACAACACCATCACTGAGCTCAATCAGGAATGACAGGTTGATGTGACAGCACCTGCAGCTTTTAACTGCCTTGGGGCAAACAGGCTGCCAGTCCAACCACACAACCACACACATCTAGGGACAATTTAGACCAATCAACCTGACAGTCATATTTGTGGACAGTGGGAGGAAGCCTGCGTACCCCAAGAGAACCCACGCATGCACTGGAAGAACATTGATTTGATGGCCGGGATTTGAACCCAGGACCTTCTTCTTGCAAAGCAACAGCACTGACCACTGCTCCACTGTGCAGCCCCTAACCTAAATATCTAAAGTAAAAGTTAATTCACACTAAAACCACATATTAGGGTGCTTAGTGTTGCATGGACCAGCAAAAGTTCCCCACAATGTGGAAATGTCCACACGTTACAGGTTACACATTACCTTCTCAGTGGTCCACCCTGGGGCTGGGAGATAGGGGTTCAAATCCCAGTCGGGTCATACCAAAGACTTGGAAAAAATGGGACTCAATACCTTCCTGCTTGACACTCAGCTTTAAGCGGTTGGATTTGGGGGTTAAACCAAATAGTTCACAAGCTGCTCTCCCACGGGAATGGGTCAGATGCAGAGATGAATTTCACCAGTGCGTGATGACTAATCAGACTTTAACTTTAAAGTCGAAATTTGTCCACTTTAACATTTAAAGAAAGGTACACACACTTTTAGCCCAGCCTGCTAAAAGTGGGACGGCTTCTAGATTCTAACCCAAAACCCGCCACAGATGGTGGCAAATTATCCGTGAAGGCATTTACATGTTTAGTCTAGTCTGACTTTAAAACAACAAAACGACAGGAACAACAATTTGACACAACTGATGATGTATAAATCATCCTGTGATAATAACTGTGTTTTCACAAAGTGGGGCATGTGGTTGGAAAACAGGAATTTCCTGAGCACAAAGGAAAACTTAAATCAGGTTCACTTCTCTGCAATTTCATTGTCAGCCCAATCCACAGAACCAAAGGGTACTTGTTGGTAGGGTGGGGGGTCTACAGAGGGATCACAGCAGGTTGGAACTTGGTTTTCTCTTTTATACTCAGGTGCTTTGACAGAAACCTGTAAAAGTAAAGCTAAACTCACCATCAGTGGTGCAGGTGTCTAACAGAGCACAACTGTCGTGAATAAAGGAGTCACTTTGTGCTTTTTTGTATTCTAGGATCTGATAATTGTGACATCTGCATGAAAACTAAAAAGCACATCCACAGTAAACCTAAAAAACAGAGATTTCCCTCCAACAAACTGTCCTACCTGGATTTCATCACATTTGATAAGCTTTTCAACTTCTGTCTGGCTCAGCAGCATAAACTCCTCGTGCTGAACCACCTCGGAGAAATGCTTCTGGGAGAAGAGCTCGGCCGCCTGCATCAGGTCAAGGCAGTTGTGCGTTTCAGCAAAGTCACGGATGCCCAGGCAGTTGGAGGGATCCAGCTGACTCTCCAGAAAATCACAACATGCCCTTTTCACCCCTGAGGAAAACAAAAACTCCTTTCATGCAAATACACACACACTCTCAAACTCATCAACCCCTGACAAGTTTTTACTTATTTCTTAACCTGAGTGTGAAATGGTAATTACTCTGGAAAGTGGTGCCGCGCTGAATCAAATTAGGTTGTGGTTTCATTAACATACCTGCTGAGTTAAATAGAACTGGAAGTTTGTTCCAAGTTTATTCAATTACATCAGTGACTTAGACTTTTCACTGATCAGCTTACACTGAATCCAACTTAGGATGAAACATTTATTCTATGACCAGCCATGCAGATCGTTACCTTTGAGCTGCAGCAAACAGGCAGCTGGGAGCAGCTCTTGAACATTCTCCACTGTCACGAGCACCGTCTCTGTGTAGACAAAGTCTAACAAGATCTCCATGGTTGATGCAGTGAGCCCTTGGATATCGACAAAAGACTTCCCTTTTTCTGCAAGCTGCAGGGCCACAAAGACGTGTGATTAGCAAGGCAGAGGCTGAAGAAGCACATCTCTAAGGCAGTGGTTCCCAAACATATTTAGCCGCGCACCCCCTTCTATGTCCCGACCATGTCAATGCACCCCCAGCCCACATCAGGGCATGGCTATATAATATATATATATATATATATATATATATATATATATATATATATATATATATATATATATACACACACACACAGTGGGGCAAAAAAGTATTTAGTCAGCCATCGATTGTGCAAGTTCTCCCACTTAAAATGATGACAGAGGTCAGTAATTTTCATCACAGGTACACTTCAACTGTGAGAGACAGAATGTGAAAAAAAAATCCATGAATTCACATGGCAGGATTTTTAAAGAATTTATTTGTAAATCAGGGAGGAAAATAAGTATTTGGTCACTTCAAACAGGGAAAATCTCTGGCTCTCACAGACCTGTAACGTCTTCTTTAAGAAGCTTTTCTGTCCTCCACTCATTACCTGTATTAATGGCACCTGTTTGAACTCATTATCTGTATAAAAGACACCTGTCCACAGCCTCAAACAGTCAGACTCCAAACTCCACTATGGCCAAGACCAAAGAGCTTTCGAAGGACACCAGGAAAAGAATTGTAGACCTGCACCAGACTGGGACAATAGGCAAGCAGCTTGGTGTGAAAAAATCAACTGTGGGAGCAATTATCAGAAAATGGAAGACATACAAGACCACTGATAATCTCCCTCGATCTGGGGCTCCACGTAAAATCTCATCCCGTGGGGTCAAAATGATCATGAGAACGGTGAACAAGAATCCCAGAACCACACGGGGGGACCTGGTGAATGACCTGCAGAGAGCTGGGACCACATTAACAAAGGTCACCATCAGTAACACACTACAATGGCAGGGAATCAAATCCTGCAGTGCCAGACGTGTTCCGCTGCTGAAACCAGTGCATGTCCAGGCCCGTCTGAAGTTTGCCAGAGAGCACATGGATGATACAGCAGAGGATTGGGAGAATGTCATGTGGTCAGATGAAACCAAAGTAGAACTTTTTGGTATAAACTCAACTCGTCGTGTTTGGAGGAAGAAGAATACTGAGTTGCATCCCAAGAACACAATGCCTACTGTGAAGCATGGGGGTGGGAACATCATGCTTTGGGGCTGTTTTTCTGCTAAGGGGACAGGACGACTGATCCGTGTTAAGGACAGAATGAATGGGGCCATGTATCGTGAGATTCTGAGCCAAAACCTCCTTCCATCAGTGAGAGCTTTGAAGATGAAACGTGGCTGGGTCTTCCAACACGACAATGATCCCAAACACACCGCCCGGGCAACAAAGGAGTGGCTCTGTAAGAAGCATTTGAAAGTCCTGGAGTGGCCTAGCCAGTCTCCAGACCTCAACCCCATAGAAAATCTGTGGAGGGAGTTGAAAGTCCGTGTTGCTCGGCGACAGCCCCAAAACATCACTGCTCTCGAGAAGATCTGCATGGAGGAATGGGCCAAAATACCAGCGACTGTGTGTGCAAACCTGGTAAAGACCTATAGTAATCGTTTGACCTCTGTTATTGCCAACAAAGGTTATGTTACAAAGTATTCAGTTGAATTTTTGTTATTGACTAAATACTTATTTTCCACCCTGATTTACAAATAAATTCTTTAAAAATCCTGCCATGTGAATTCATGGATTTTTTTTCACATTCTGTCTCTCACAGTTGAAGTGTACCTATAATGAAAATTACTGACCTCTGTCATCATTTTAAGTGGGAGAACTTGCACAATCGGTGGCTGACTAAATACTTTTTTGCCCCACTGTATATATCAGACGTCACGCTAAACAGTCAATCGACAGACAGGGTTAAAAAATATGATCGAACTTTTTCCCCATCACTTTCATTTTTATGTTTATGTATTATGTATTTTTGAAATAGTAATTAATAAACATTCAATATCATTACAATTTCCTTAGATTTAATTTTAAATCAATATTTAGAGTGCCCAGGTAACACATAAACAATGCAATTTAATGGTTTTCTTAAAGCAGGACTGTTTAACCAGAGCTCTCTCCTTCCTTCTGCTCTGCGTAAACCTGAACTGGCCACCTACTTGTGCGTAATCAAATGTCTATAGGGGAAAAGATGGAAAAGATATAGCCATGAGGTTCACTTTTGCCTCAGACAGACTTATTGCTGTTTTATGGTGGCTGAATCTGCGATTCGCTGCCAAGTGGACTGGAATAACAAATGCTGCAGTAACGGGTGTTGTGGTCAGGTTCATGAAGAGTCACTGGCTGGAGCGGACTCGACTTTAATACGTCATCCCAAAATGGAAGCTAATATGACCTTGAATGAAAAATGTTGTTATAAAACCTCTTAAAAGTTTTTTTTATCACGGAAGTGGCAGCGCTCATTTCTGCGTTCAGTCTGACGGCACAGCGCAGCGTGCGCTTGTTGAATCAGTGTGTGTGTGTGTGTGTGTGTGCGCGCGTGCGGCACAGCTCCATGCGCCGCTCCAGTCACCGCGTCTCGTTATTGGTGCTATTTAAACCAATGTTGTAAAATTACTTCTGCCCAGCCCAGATGTGCTCACTTGTGCACCCGTGAGCCGTGGTTCCGCTGGAACGCGTCTGACCTCTGACAGACGCACTCTGAACTTCAGACCTTCAGCGTGCTGTTAACAGCCTGACACGTTTAGAATGCTGTCCCACAGTCAGTGTGCTAATATAATAATATAATAATGCTAAAATGCTCAGATGGGAATCATTTCTTGATTTATTCTGTTACATCTACAATGTTCTGTGTGTGTGTGAGGTTTACAATGTCAGAACACCTGCATGAGACAGGTGTTAATTACAATCTGCCAGAATGACTCGCCACCTTCAGATTCCTCCAACACCGTTAAAAATGATCAAATACTGAACATATCCTGCTGTTGACAGCGTGCGCAAGCCAGAGCGCTGAAACTCGGCGCATTATTATGAAGCTAGGGCACATGCGGAGGACACACACACACACACACACAAGCAAAATATACTTGTTTTCCAATTACATTTATTGGGCCCACTTACTTTTTCTTGGGCCCACCCACAAAGGAGTTTCTGGCTACGCTAATGGTGACATATGACAGACTTCTCTGAGCTCCGCAGCCATTACAGTTTTCACCTCGCACACCCCCTAGCGGCACCTCGCGCACCCCCTAGCGGCAGCTCGCGCACCACACTTAGGGAGTCCCTTCTCTAAGGTAGAAAAGAGAGAAAAAAAAACTCCAGATGCATTTTTCTGATTTTGTTCCCTTACAAGGATATTTATGCCCTGTAATTATATCGGCATTTAGAGGGGCAAAAGGGTTTCCGTTAAACAAACACTGTCTCTGAGGAGAGATCCATCCTGCAACAGTTAGTATGTTCAAATGTGTCTAGGAGGGATTTTTAGGTCCAGTGTTAGTCTGAACAATCCACCCACAAGCTGACAGCTCTGAAAACAAGTTATCAAACCTGCCAATAAAAGGCACGTCCTGAATGACACCCTGCAGCAGGATCTCTGATGATGCAGCATGATAAAGACTCGCTGCCTGAGTAGCTAGACTCCACCAGGACTGGTGTCTGATCCTGTCAGCAATCTTCATGAACGGAAGCTCACATCGCAGTCGAGTGGTTTGGGTCTCATCTCTGCTTTAGGTGACAGCAGATGATGTGGTTCTGTTAGCATCTTCAGGCTATGATCTTTAGCGTGCACTAGCATGCTTCACAGCTGGGGGCCGAGGGCTGGGATGAGAATCAGCTCCTCTAAGACCGATGTCATTGTTCTCAACCGTATAAAGGTGAAACGCTCCCTCCAGGTTGGAGCAGAATAATTAAAGTATCTTGTTAACTAAGAGATGGATCCAAGTAAAACAGAATCTATTAACATCAGCTGGTAAAAACGTTTATAAATGGAGCAGCAAACAGTGTTTTCATTCAGTTAGATGCAATGGTTGCAAATGCAGCTTCATGAAAAGTTAAACACTTAGCATGGAAGCAGATAGCAGCTATTTTTAGGTCTGATGGGATTTCCTTCAGATCAAGAGTCGACTGTTCAGTTATCTGAAAAAGTGCTGTGCTCATTTTCTAATGATGACAACAACATATTATCTAAAGAACGTAAGCTTTGTTTTCTCCAGATAAGATGAATACGATGAAAATGGGAGAAATTCCTGTGTTACGCCCGTTTTCTTCATTTAGTAGCATTGCTGTGACTCTTGGATGATTAAAACTTATTGATGTGCTGTTTACTTTTGAATCAGTTGCAAGCAAGACTGACCTGATTTCTGATGAAGTAGCCCTCTCTGGTTGTGAGTTAGAAATAACTGTCTTAACACATTGGAGCAAGCTGTTCCAGGTCAAAATGTCTACATATTTCAGCCTGTTATAGCAACAAAACAAGCCAGTGAAAGCATTAAATAACAAAATAAACCATTATTAAAAGACCTGCAAATGAAACCATATTTGTAGGCCTGTCATTGTGCGGCTTCCAAACGTCCGAAGTTTTGTTTTATGTTTGGCTCACACACAACGGTAAAATGTAGACTTCTGTTATTTACTCACTAAGTAAAAAGATCTGTTGGATTTGAAAGATCTCATGTCAGAATAACACATGGATGCTGAGGGTGCTGTTCTGCAGCATCTCTTACTTATGAAGCATGTCGGAAGTAAAACTAATATTATGTAAATATTAAATAAAGTCTCAAATGTTGGGATGAACTCATGTGTTCCTACAATACAACTGTACTTAACGGAACCTCTTCCTAAAATAAATTTAGAGGTTTTCTTTTTATTTCCCATCAAATGATTTGAAAAATTTGTTGTACATCCAGTATAAAATCCACACACATCCATTTAAGTTACAAGTAATAGTTAACCCAAACAGGGGAAATGCCCCCAAATTGTGAATATTTAAAAAAAAAACTGTTTTGTACATTTTAGTCCTGAAAAGAAAGTTCTACCTCACTGGTGAACATGGCACAAAAGTAGTCGCTGCAAGCAGCCAAGACGATCCGGTGAGCAGGAAAATCCGCGTTGTCCACCCTCAGAGTGATGTCGCAGAGTGTGTTACTCTTGCGGAGTGAATTCATTGCATTGAGGATGGATTTAGCATGGGAATTTGTCATGATGTCTTTGGGAGCCATGCTGTTTGGAGGATCCGTCATAGATCTCAAACTCCCACAGGAACCTAAAATAAATACATCAAGACAAATAAACGGAATTCTTGCAGACCACAATGCCATCTGGGAACAGGAACAGAGACAGGAAGCACCGGATTATTGGATTAATAATAATAATAAAAACTTTAGCATTGGCTCATTAGTTAAAGATTATTCAGGAACCATCATGACTACTGAAAAAACATTTTTGATGAATCTGTAGAAATCATTAGATGTGTGTGTATTGGTTTGTTGTTTTGTTTTGGAAGAAAAAAACAAGGAAAGACATCAAATAATGTCACATCTGTCAGTGGAAGAGTCCACAAACAGGTATTATCCATCCTTAGGTATTTAAAAGCTGATATGTTGATTAAAACCAGACAAAAAAAAGAATAAAACAAACGTATTTGTCAAACAAAAATCCATGTTTGAAACTACAAGTACATTTAGTTAGAACCAGGATTTTTATTTGATCGTGGTGATGAAACTTACCGTGAAAAGATCCTAACACTTTTTCCACCACTGGGAGGCAATAACTATAGCTACACATGAGCTAAAAGCAGCACTGAACGACAGCTGACGGCTAACGCCAACGCCACACAACTTCAGAAAACAGCAGCTACAAAAGCGGCCTGTAGGCCAGAGGGAGACAAAACAAGAAGCGACACACACACAAGAACTTGGCAAGAATTTGCATTATACCTGCAGGGCAGAGTCAAAACGTCTAGCTAAGTTGTTTTGCTAACTAACTGTAGCAGCACCAAAGTCTCAGTTCAAACCGCCCTAATCCATCATGACCTCCGTCAGGTCACACCAACACACGGCCTCCGCGGGGACGGGTCTGTTCAAAATATCAAAATTATCTCATATTATGTCCCAGAACGATCTTTGAACACCAACAATTTAACGTTGACTAAACTGCAGTGGGTCACAGTAGCGCCACCAACAACAAAGTTGGCAAGCAGATGTATCATATAATAGTTGGACACGAACTTTCAAACAAAAATCCAGAATTCACTTGTTCGTAGTAAAATGAATAGCCTTTAGTCTGTGGTTGTTGTTGCTGTTGTAGTATATGTTGTTACATGACTATATGTTGTTACATGACGTTGTTACCTGATGTTCAGACATGATGTTGTTACTTGATTTTGTTACATGATGTTACTTGATGTTGGTACCTGATGTTATTGCATGATGATAGTACATAATGTTGTTACCTGATGTTGTTACAAGATGTTGTATAATGTTGTTACTTAATGTCACCTGATGTTACCTGATGCTGGTACCTGATGATGTTACATGATGTTACGTGATGTTATTTGATGTTGTTACCTGATGATGTTACATTATGTTGTTACCTGATGTTGTTACTTGATGTTGTTACATGATGATGTTACATTATGTTGTTACCTGATGTTGTTACTTGATATTGTTACATGATGATGTTACCTGATGTTGTTACCAGATGTTGTTACATGATGATGTTACATTATGTTGTTACCAGATGTTGTTACATGATGTTGTTATTTGATGTTGTTACTTAATGTTGTTACCTGATGTTGTTACCCGATGTTGTTACCGGATGTTGTTATATGGTGTAGTTACTTGATGTTGTTACTTGATGTTATTACCTGATGTTGTTACTCGATGTTGTTACCTGATGCAAAAACAAGGTAAAATAACACTTTTGCTGTGTTAAAAAGAACAGTAATGCAGTAGAAATGCAGAACAATTTAATAAAACAATGTCAAATGTTATGACATGTTACTCATTTCTATGCACAGTGTAGAAGTAAAATGCTATTTGTGACCAAAGTGCCATTTAAAAAGATGAACTCAAATGTCAACTCACTTGTGCAGTGGAAATATGAACTAGACAAAGACATGGACAGATATGTTTGCCACATCTGAAGGGGATAACCTAATATAAATTAATGGAAAGCTGACATAATTTGCTTCAAAAGTTTGTTTTCCCTGACAAAGTCTCAGTTATGGAAAACTTGAGACACAATTTTAATATTGTGACAGTTTTGGTTATCATTGGTTTTGATTTTATAATTCAGATTGTCATTTTGACAGAAATATTTACACTGACGTTCAAATTACTTTTTAAATGTAATTATATTAAATGTTAAAACAGCTTGCCAAATTCACCGGCAGCCGGGGCGATGACGTACACAGTGCGTGAGTGTGCGTGCGCGCTCCCCAAAGAGCGAGACGCGTTTTTTTTCCCAGAAATATGATGCCTCCCGCGCGTCCTCGCCTGTTGGTCGCTGCTGTTTCAGAAATGGTGAGATGACGATTCTGTGTCAACAGACTTACTTTCCAGACTTGAAGAAGTGCTGTGAATCCTACACAGATATCTCACAGCAGCAAATTAAAACAAAACAAAACACATTGTGCTCTTTTTAGCCACCCAAGGACGACAGCTACACCGTGTAGGAGGAGCTAGCGGCGTGTTTCCGTTAAGAGTAGGCCGAGATGGCGATCTAAGCAGCCACACTGAATGTGAGCTAACAGCGGCCGAAGATTGGGCAGCTACTACCGGAAACCGATTCACTACTAATTCTTTAATTACCGGGAAGCTGTGGTTCTTCGTTTTGGGCTGGGCGTAAAGAAAGAGTGGCAGCTGAACTGGAAGCAATGGAAGCCGAGTTCTTGGAAATCGATGAGAACGAGAGGTGGAGCGCCATTTACCAGGTAGGAACTATCGGCTGATCATCAAGGTGGAGACACGAACCGTAGGTGAAGCTGTCATTTTAGGCCTGCTCACAACGAGTCAGCAGATATATAAGGTATTAATAATAATCAATGTTTTTATTAGTCACCGGGACTTTTCTGGGTGTGTACAGCCTTGTTCTGATGTGTCTGTCCGGGTATAATACCTGCAACACTCGCTAGGACCCAGGAGTGGCCCGGATCTGTTCTGACTTTAATAAACCTTTATCAAGTGTCCATTAAAACGTTAATCACGTTTTAAAATGCTGTTTAATCACTACTCATGAGTAACTACTTTATTATGATAATTTTAAGTGTGTGTGCATGTTTACCTGCATTAACAGTGTTAATAGTGTGATGTCTAGACTCTTTTTTCTTCTGTTTTTCTAAAGAATTAAATTTAGGAAGTAAGGCCTACATGCACTCAGATCCACTTTCACAGTGTGTGAAACCTAAATCTGCTAAAATTTATTTGGTAAATTTTATTTTGTCTCAGGAGATTCGCCAGCAGTCCAGCGAGTGCGCATGCAATGATGCCAAACTGCCTGAAAACAAGACTCGAAACCGTTACAGGGATGTCAGCCCATGTGAGTTACACTTTGATCATCAGCAGACTCGTTTGTTGTTTTCTCTCGGTTATTATAACCATTCTTAAATTCAGGTAGATTGTGTATTTCCTATCATACCCATATAATAATTCAAAGGTGACAGATTGTAAATTGTTAGGATTGTCTCTTTGAAACTAATTTCTAAATTTTAAATAAGAAAACAACAGTAATTATACAAGTTAGAAAATGTAAAAATAGTTACTATCCACAGAACTAAATCCATCACAGTCCAGCAGCTGAGCTTTGCTGGTTTCCTCTTTTTCACACTGAATAAGCAATGCAAATTGTGCAGCTTGGGTTGCAAATACTTAGTTTTTATTATTCACATCTAACAAGATGTGAAAATGAGGAACCTGAAACTTTTGCCCACATTTACATCTCATATGAAGGATAGGTGGTTACCTCTGTTGTTAGTTTGCTCAATGACTCTTTTCTCATCAGTGTTGCGATGGTAGGGCTGTTCCTCCCCTTCTAAACAACAACAAGACATTTTTATCTGTCTTTTGTCCCCGCTCCTCAGTTGACCACAGCAGAATACACCTGCAGCTGGGTTCCAACGACTACATCAATGCCAGCCTGATAACTGTTGAAGAGGCTCAGAGAAATTATATTCTTACTCAGGTAAGCATCCTGAAGATTCACTGTCCTCTGTATGATTTTACATACAGACACACATCTACTGTATGTAACACGTCTTGGAGTTATGATGTCAACAAATGATTTGGAAAATGGAAGAATACCACAGTGAGAGCATATCCATGGGATTGATCAGTGAGGGAAAAACAGCAAATAGAAAAGCAAGAATATTAAGAGGAGTATATATCAGGCTTTCTATTTAAAAATGGTGGAAATGGGCCATCACTGCTTGTAGTTAAAATGCTGGATGTGGACTAAACTGTCACAACTGCACGTGTCACAAAATCAGAGGCAGTGGCTCGGGTCCAGCTGGAGCCGTGGTTCTGTATGTCTGTATCACAGTACGCTGGTAAAAACCTGGAGATTAGAACGTGGCTGGATCTGTTATTTATTCATCCCGTGCTAATATTGTTATCTAGTGATGCGAAGAAGAAAGTGTGATGTCTTTAAAGGAGTGGTTTATTCCCTGTTTAGGGACCCCTGCCGAGTACGTGTGGCCATTTCTGGGAGATGGTCTGGGAGCAGAGGACCCACGGTGTGGTGATGCTAAACCGGGTCATAGAGAAAGGATCTGTAAGCAGTCGTCTGTCCTTACCGAGACCTTTTAATGTGTCCATTACTCAGGAGTCACGCTACTCTTTTGTTTTCACATGACCTTTGTTTGGTTTTAGATTAAATGTGCTCAATACTGGCCGCAAAGAGAGGAGAAGGACGCCATCTTTGAAGACACCAACTTCAAGGTGACTCTCGTCTCAGAGGACATCAAATCTTACTACACAGTCCGACAGCTGGAGCTGGAAAACCTGTTGGTAAGTCCTCTCTGTTGAGCTGTCTGCCTGAGATAAGAGGTTATTTGACGCTGAGAGCCCGTGGGTCCTGAACACCTTCTGCCACTCGTGATTTAGTCATGAAGACAGAGAAAATATACACGGTGTCTTGTGCTTTAGAGCAAATTAGGAAGGATAAAAGCTAAAGAAGAATTTAACTATTACATCCACAATTTTTACAGAGCTAAATAGTTGTAACTCGTATTTTCAGTTTGGCAGGAATGTCAGGAGCTGGTCCTACGTCTCATCACTTCCTGGTTTTGATCTATAATTTTGCTGCTGAAGTTTGTGGAGCATGAACTGATTTGTTGACAACACTGGACCTTTCTGAAAATCTGTGTTTAGTTGGGCTTTTCTAGCTGCTGAGGGGATTTGATGCTAACCTATAAAAGGAAGTTTTTTTCCCTAGTTTTTGCTTTAATGCTGATCTGAGCTGAAACATCAAGTGGAAGTTATTTTCATCTCGACTTGGCTTTGGTTTCCATCTGTGGTGCTGTGTTTGACCTGTGACGGTTTTATTTCTAACCCCAACCCTTTCCCTACAGACTCACGAGACGCGTGAGATTTTACATTTTCACTACACCACCTGGCCTGATTTCGGGGTACCAGAGTCTCCCGCCTCCTTCCTCAACTTTCTGTTCAAGGTGCGAGAGTCTGGCTGTCTGAACTCAGAGCATGGACCTGTGGTGGTCCACTGCAGCGCTGGTATCGGACGCTCTGGGACCTTCTGCCTTGTGGACACTTGCCTCTTGTTGGTTTGTATAATTTGTATAAACTCCAGCATGCAGTGAGACAATCACAAACAAAGCAGTCGCCTATCTGAGGAGAATCACTCTGACTGCTGTCTTTGTGTTCAGATGTCTCTTCGTAAGGACCCGTCATCGGTGCGTATTCGCGATGTGCTGCTGAAGATGCGGCAGTATCGAATGGGTTTGATCCAAACTGCGGATCAGCTTCGCTTCTCTTACCTGGCTGTCATCGAAGGTGCCAAGTACATCAAAGGAGATAAATCTCTCCAGGCAGGTTCTTCCTCTCCTCTTCGGAGCTTTTTATGACTGTGCATTCTGCTGAAGTCCTTTTAGTAAACAAGCTTTCTGCTTCTGAAGGAATCGTGGAAAGAGCTCTCTAACGAGGAAGATGATCCTCCGGAGTCCCCTCCCCCTCCCCCTCCTCCTCCGAGAGACCCTCACAATGGCAAAGTGCAGCCACCTTTTTTCCCTGATAAAGAAGAGGTCATCCTGAGGTGAGCATCCCAATCATCTGCGGGCTTATCTGAGCATTGGGGTGGGGGTGGTTCCTAATAGAGCTGCTCCGTGCTTCGATTGATAGTCAGCATCACAACGTAGGTATGTGATGTGATGGGGGGGCCTTCATCTGTTGGATCAGGTGAGATGTTGATCAAACGTTTGAAGCTACTATGAGGATGAAACGCATCAGGGGTCTATTATGTTGGACTGTAGACGTGACACTTGTTGTGGACTAACTAATATATTGGAGTCATTAATTTGACTCTTGGGGACGTAAAATCTTTTTATTCAAGATGGCTGTGTTCCGTCTGTGATGGGACGCTTCAGACGTTGAGCTGGACATTATTTAGCATTTCAAATCAAATCAAATCACTTTTATTGTCACGTCACACGTGCAGGTACACTGGTACAGTACATGCGAGTGAAATTCTTGTGTGCGAGTTTCACAGCAACAGTTGCAAAATACACATATTCTGTGTTATATAGCTAAAAGCGTTTATTGTGTCTACAGTTCTGATGGTATCATGCTGACAAAACAAACTCCGATTTGACAAGGAAGGATGTAATTTACCTCCCGTGGAACGTAAAAGGCTGACTGGTTATTCATCCAAAAAAGGGCAGGAGTGCAGCACAACTGAAAGTGCTATTTAAGTGATCTGTTGAAGGTTTCACTGCTTTTCATTATCGCAAGAGTTGGAAAAGAATCACAATGTGATATTTTTTATTTATTTATTTTTGCCTATATGGTTCAACGCAATCCTCTCCTCTCCTCTCCGGTTAGAAAAGAACATTTTTCCCACCATACTGAAACAGAAACGTGACTTTTAGCACAACATTTTTCTAAAAAAAAAAAAGTGTATTTATATAGCGCCAAATCACAACAACAATCGTCTCAAGGCACTTCACAAGGTAAAATTGGGTTCAGTTCATAATGGCAATTAGGCTTGGGTGTTATCCAAATTTCAATATCGTTAAGCTTCCTCTACGTGTTACCACAGTGTACGGTATTTCCATGAGTAATTAAAAATTATGACCTAAAACTCAAGTGGCATTAACAAAGTGTTGGCTTGGACTGTAACAGTTCAGAAACTGAATCTCAACACTATTGCCACCAAAAAAAAAAAACATATTAAGCATAATGTTAACATTTTAATTAAAAAAATGCTGCTCATTATAATATTTTTCGCCAGAAAAACCTGCACGTTTACTTTTCCAGATTCAACATTGCACCTTCTGTACCAACAACTTTGCCTGGGGTGCTGAAAACCTGCTCCGATGGTGCGCTTGTGGCACAGACACAGGCTTTTGGGCCAGTCACAACTTCTGGGGAAGAAACTAGCAGCATATTTCTACCAGAAAAGTGAATAATAGGCTCCAAACCGGCTGTTATTTTAGCTCTCTAGAGTTCATCTGCGGTGCTGACGGGACCTGCATCTCTTGCTGTCACCTCTTTATTGCACGAGGAACACTCTTTGACAGGGAAACGTGGATTGACGGAACACCGGCTCTCCTTTATCGTTTGCTTGGAATCCAAAATACTTCCAACAGCAGAAGTTGTGTTTATTTTTGACACCGAGTCAGTAGGTGCATGACCTGCCATCTCTCTCCCTGTCTCTCTTAAGGTGCGTCTCTCTCTCTCTCCTCCGCGCTGTCACATGATGACGTCATGTTCATAAACTTTACGGAATGTCTCCAAAAGTCGACTATAACATATTAAACAATTTAACTAAAAATGAAAATTCAACAACACGTCAGTTTTACACATCAAATATTTTTTTTATATTTAGTCCTTATCTCCTAAATGCACTACATTTTGTTCATGACGTATTAACACTGATAGTGTTGCTCTTTTTAAACACCAGCTGTATACAGTAATACCATAGTACCACCAAAGTCTAATGCCGTTTAAAGTTTCCTATATAAGGGAACCCAGCGGATTGCATCGTCACTGACTTCACAACAATCCTCATGCTAAGCAAGCATGTAGCGACGGTGGAGAGGAAAACTCCCTGTAACAGGAAGAAACCTCAACAGAACCTGGCTCAGGATGAGCAGCCATCCACCGCAACTCACTAGCTTACACATCCATATCAATGTTTGCTTTAAACTTTATTCTTTGTGTAAAACGACTTGATGGATGCATCCATTAAACTCCAAACCTAACTGGGAGACATCCATCTGTCTTTTTCCTCATTCAGGGAAGACCTGCGACAGAGGATCTTAACCGCTGCAAGGCCTCCTTCTGATAGGGCTGGTCAGCCGGACCGGCATGTGGGAATACCTCATTCCACAGCTCCCAACACATCCCAGCAGGAGGAGGATGAGCCGAAGGCAGCGGAGCAGCCAAAGGAAAGCTCTCCTGTGCCGGGGAACTGGTCCCCTTTCCTAGTCAACGTGTGTCTCTGCACAGCGGTGACCCTCAGTGCTTACATTTTTTATCGAGCCTATTTCCACTGATGTCTCTTTCCTCTTCCTGATTGTTTTTGTTCTGTGTCACAAAGTGGACTTGGCTGCCTCACCAGCCTGCTCTGACTCTGTCAGTGAGCTTTTGTTCTATTCAGGTTGACCTGTTGTTATTTTTATAGCTGCAGCAGGAGGAGCTGCCACTAATTACCCAAACGTCGTTTCTGTACGCCATCACAGACGCTCAGGACCTCAGTTCTTCAGGTGCCACAACCCAAACGTACGTGTGTGTCTATGTGTGTGTCTGTCAAGTACATCAGACTGCGGCTGTTGGGAGGGGTTGTCTCCAAGCTGCTGGTCTGGGAACCAGGATGAGAACCCTGTCTGCCCGTTTTATATGCATCTTATTTACCAAAATGACAATTTTGAATGTGACTTTCTGTTTTCTTTTTCATTAAGATTTAACTTTTTGTTTTATTTTTTAGCCCACTTGCTAACACAGATGGGTCTGAAATGTTCAGTCCTGATTTTTGACAAGCCAGTCAGAAAACACGCCAGTAGAGGGGGGGGGGGGGGGTTAAAGCGGAGTGTGTATAGAAATAAAAAAGTGAATTCATGCTCACTGATTGCATGCAGATGTGGGCTTGGAACTGTGATCTGTCCACACTAGTCGCCTCTGATTGGCCGGTTGAGTGTGTCTTGTGTGTATCTGTACATTTGTGTATCTGTGCGCGCGCCTGTTCAACCTGCTCCATGTCTCGTTAACAGGAAGTAAAATGTGAGATGTGGACAGAGCGGCGTCCTCTTCGTTTCCCTCTCTGGTGGCTCAAGGTGTGAAACTAAATTGTGCAGGGGGTGGGGTGGGGAATCACCTTGCCAGTGTTGTCTGCCAGCAATAAAGTCAGTTTGAAGCATCTGAGTGAGATGTGGAGTGTGGGACCAGGGACTGAACAAACCAAAAATCAAATACCAGCACAGGGATGATGACGATACACTGTACTGATTGTGACCCTGAGCTGGCAGTATTCTTTTGTATGATTAGTGTTTAATTTTCTTTTAGCATGCTGCATTTGTGAATCCACAGGTTTATCCTAAGAAGAGATTAGTTAAGCTGCTACCATTCGTTTACCTTTGGGATACGACAAAGTTCAACAGCTGTACCTTTCTTTAGAATGTATAAATGTCCTCTAGGGACATACCTTTAATAAATTTATATATAAATATATATTTCCAATCAGGTTTAAGTGTGCTGAGTTCTTTTTTTCTGCTTTGAATGAAAACTCAGTATCATGTTTTCCTGTTTTCTATATGCTGAGCTACAAAAAAAATGTATTTTTTTTAATTTACATTTGTTTTCATTTTTAAATAAAAAGTAAAAAAAAGTTTCATGTTCTGTTTTATTTTAGAAAGAACCGTTTGCCGAGGAAACAACATGGATTATGGTATAAAGGATCATATATTTTTATCTTATCAGATCAGTTCTGTGACTTTAAGGACTTTAACCCTAAATCTGCAGAAACACATCAATAAATTAGATTTGATTGGAGCTGAAGGCCAGCTTCATTAAAACTGACAGCTTCGGGTTAGAGGTCACATCTGCCTCTTCAACTTCTGAAAAGACCACAAACGTTTTCATGTAAACGGGAGTCATCAGGTGGTACTATAAACTAACTATAAACCTCTTTCAACAGAACTAATGTGCCTTCCTAACCTTTGACATCCATATCCAGTCATCCCACTGGAACGGGCCCACAACTCCAGAGGGGTCATTCATTTATATCCTTTCTAACCTGGGAACGCCATAGGAACAATTGTGCAGAAAAGCTGATTTTAATCATTAAAACTGAACCAAAGAATATAATTTAATGCAATTGCGTTTTAACCAGTTATTCAATGTTTATTATTGAGATAAACAGTTTCAGTGACACTAGTGCGGTTTCCTGAGAAACAGTGTTCAAATAACCACAAGGTGGCCCAGTTGGACTATAACGCTCCTGTTTCCTGCTTTGTCTGCGTGTACACATCAGTCATGTTACCTTTACATGACAACTCAGATTATTTCTGCTCTGTAAAATTTACTAATTCCAGAATTAAAGAAGCATTAAAGCTTTAATTCTTCCATCCCTGCGTTTTCATGCTTCTTTTTTTTAATGAAAATGTCCTTTGCCTCTAAAACTTGGACTTTAAATTCCAATATTTATTCTGGCCACATCTGGAAGAGTTATCACTGATAAACCCTTTTTTGTCCTTAACACTTTGTGTTACTCAAACACGTGTCAGGTTCAGACTGTTCCACAAACACAACCTGAACAACCTCATTCTCTGTTAACTGTAAAGACTGACACTGAAGGTATGAGAGATTTGTAAGATGCCTGAACATGTCCTACACACACACACACACACACACACACACACACACACACACACACACACACGCACACGCACACACACACAGCTTGAAGAAAATGGGGAGTAGTGCAGATGATTTGGCAACTGTCTTGGCTAGGACTTCCTGTTTGGGAAACCAGAGGATGCACTGGTACGTGCTGTACAAGAATGTGAGTGAAGCGGTGTGAGTAATAGCACTCCCAACAAACGCTCTGCTGACGTCAAGCCTACACAACAAGCTAGAACAGGCTGCTGAAGAAATCAAGGTGTAACAGGGGCCGGGGCCGGAAGTCAGTTCAAAGCCACAGTTTGTTTCTAGTGAAACTCCAGGCTGGTCGTCATGGCTCACTCACACTGTGGTTAAAAGTGTTGTTTTGTAAATATTATTGAAGTTACAGATGTTTTGAAAGCATTTTCATAGAGAAAATCATTTGAAAGCTAAAATGAGCTAGAATGACTGGATTTTAACAGTCAGTTGGTGTTTGGCGTCTTAGACTAACAACGCTGAGTCCACATTCTTCTTCAGTCAAAAAGTGGATCAGTCCTGCCCTGCTGCCTCCTCCAGCATGTCTCTAGTTTAGTTATTAACCTGGAACTTCCCAATAGCTGGCCAGCTGTGAGGGAGTGTGTGTGTGTTGCTTTTCCAGCCTGCAGATGATTTTCAATGGAAGACCTGCAGGGATCAGGAAATTCCTGAAAATGAGGCGAGTCAGGTCTTTCCAAGAGTGACTCTGCAAAGTCTGAGTCAACACGCTGCTGCACAATGGAGGCTTAATGGGACAAAGTTTGCTGGCACGCCGTCAGGAATACCAAGTCTCTTCTTGTCTTTTCTTTCGTCAACAACAGAGTGACTGAGACACAGCATAATTATTGACCGCTGATGAAAACCAATCACTGCGTTTACTCAGGAAATCAAGCTGACTGGAGACATTTTAACACATGGTGGTAAAATACTAACATGCATTAGGGAAGTTCACATATTTACTATTTTGCAAGAGCTGAGTATGATGCCGATTTTAGCATAGAAATCGAAAAACACAAGGAATCTGAAAGTATTAACAGCCTTCCAGTGTCTGCACCAAGGAAAACTCTGCCTGCCAAAGATAAAGCCAAGGAGGAAGTGACAAAAATTGCAGTTCCCCCCTCATCCTCTAGGGACTGGCTCCATAAAGGAGCAAATTCTCAGTGACTTCCATGTAAAAATACTAACTTCACAGCAGAGATAAACATGTTTACAGCCTGGTTTAAAAATAAACATTTTAGGTTTTCTGTCATGGCAACTCTGAGGGGGTGAAGCTTTTTGTAACTAATCTCTTTAGATGTAATTAAAGTTTGAAATTATGAAAAATTTGCGTGTGCTTTTGATCGACATGTAGCAGATGAGCAGTCAGCGCTAGCAGTTCCCCCCTCTTTCAGGGAAGGCCTCGGCCTCGCCCTAAAAGTGTTACAGCCTGGAAGACAGAGGGTAGCTGAGTCGCTCAACCGCAGTCTTGTGGCTAAATGCGCCCGGCCTACCCTATTACCTTCAGTTAGCTGAGTTAGCTCGTAGCTACAACGGTTAAGTATTTGATGTATGTCAATCATTTGCCCCCACACTCACAGCCCCACACTAGGCTCCATTTTTGTATTTTCCGGAAGTGACGAAACACGTGACATGGCCAAGATGGTGTTGGGGAACCGCCTCTTGGGCTTCAAGTAGGCTCTTCCAAGAACCTGCAGGTGATGGTGTGGAGGGTTCGTCCATCTTACACATGCAGTCAATTGTTCACACAGAGTTCAGGGACAGTCAAAGCACCTGTTTTCCAGCTGTGTGTTTAATGTGCAGCTTCACTGGGTTTAAAGGGATATAAAAGGTAAAAAATAATGGGTTATAGACGCCATCTTGAATGACCTCAGTTTGGGGAAAATAGAGTTTATATCCTACTGGAGTAAAACCTCAATATCTGACCTTTCAGCTCATGCTGAGATATTTTACACGTCACTCCGGTTGCAGCAGTTTTAAGACAGCAGCCAAACGCTTGGGTTGGACTAGCCTTTAGCTCATCAATCCAGTCTCACAGACTTTATTTCTCTTATTTTTTAATTTATTCACTTCTATGAAGTGCTACCGAAGCATCATGATTAATACACAAATGTGATGAGATTTCAGTCATGAGGGGCGTTTTTCTGCTAAGCAAGCAGCTTTGCCTTTTTGAACCCGAATGGAAAAGCAGAGTTGTTGTGTTTGAGCAGCAGTCTGATGTCTTTGGTTACGTCTGTTGAGACATTCACTCGTGAGCGGTTCCTCTTCCTGTTCCTGCCTCCTCTGGTTGCTGCTGAAGACCAACCGTCTCTCTCTCTCACGCACACACACACACTCCTCTGATATATACTATCAGATGCTAAGTTCATGCATGTAGGTCAAAGCGTAAATACTGACAGGTTGGAGCTGGTGCTTCCCCGTTTCAGCGCTTCCTCCCGCAGCACACACAAGAGATGGATGACGTCGGCAAACGGTATCCACATGTAAACAAAGCTGAATGACCTGCGTGTCTCACCGCAGATGTAATCACTGTGTTCTTTTGGTTTGTTGTTAATGTTTTTCTCCTAGCAGCTGCAAAATAAGACCACTTATTGATGCATATGAGTGACGACTGTGAGTTTGATTTACTGATGGAGCACTTGATCAGCGGTGGGAAACATACACACAATGTGTCTGAAGCAGACTGACTAAGAGGTGAAGCTGTAAACGTGAGGATGGGCACATAGTTGAACCAGTGTGGGTGTCGAAGTGTTTCTAAGCCACCTGCGACAACACACCCTGCTTCCTGTTGAGTAATGGCAAACCCAACTCATCCATTACTGCTACATAGATTTGCCTGCTGTGATTCCACGAGTGTACAGTCAAACATTTTATTTACTTTTCCTATTAGTCAAAGGAAAATTTATCTTATTTTTAAAAATATTCTTCCCACTGTTTAGACACTACTGGTTTTAATTAACAAGACATCACATGACAGTTTCTGTAATAATAATAAATTATCTCCGTCATAGCATCAAACTCAGAAAATAGACAAAAAATCTAGCCAAATGATCAGTGGAGGATAAAATCTCACTTCCATAATATTCACATATTGAAAACCTGTTTGTCAAAGTAAAACCGGATGTTGGCTCAACTGCACAGATGTCTGGTAATCTAGGAAAGTTTTGGAGCAAACCTTGGAGGAACAGTGCAGTTGGCTGAACTTTCATTATTGATGAAACACCAGTGCTTCAAAGGACTTTTAGGATATCTTTCTGTTTCTGTGTCCTAAAGTAATGAGGAAAGGTTGAGGTTAGAAAGGTCGATCAGTAAACTCAAGAAAAAGCTGTTGGACCTAAAGGTGAGGTTTTGATCTTCCATGGAGTCGGGCTGATTTAATCTCTCCAGATGAGGGGCTAAACCAGTGGTCCTCAGTAGTTGACCCGCGGGCCCCCTCTTTGTGGCTCCAGAGCCCCGCACGCACACAGTGGCTATAACCACAACTACTGTGCTACGGACACAGCCACAGTGGCTATGGGCACAGCCAATCTGCTATGAGCATAGCAGTCGACTGCTATGACCACAGCCACTGTGCTATGGGCACAGCCACGTTAGCATTATATGACGGAGCACGAGTTCAAAGTACACCAAAGACATTCATTAAACATCAAACATGAACAAAGTTTCAAATATGAACAAAGTTTTTAACTACTGTCCTGCTAAAACAAAGCTTTTTAGCTAAACGTTGACCTGTCACTAAATCTTTAACGTAAAGGAGTCCGTATGGTCAGTGGGTGCAGTCACAGCAATCCATAGCTCCATTGGCTGTTCTCGTAGCTTTGGGATAGCAGTCACAGCCATTTGTGGCTACAGGCGTGCCCTTGTGGCTGTGGCGACAATCGGAGATCGGTCCTACTGTAAAATCATGGAACTGAGAAGCACAGAGGCAAATAAAATCTAGAATAAAACAAAAAAGCAAACATAGAAGTCATCCATG